TTGCCCGGGCTCTGCTCCGCTTCGGGGGCTGTGCCGCCCCCCGAGTAAATCCCCCGAAACGTGAGGCAGCAGCCTGGGGGCCGGCACCGATCCCCTTCGGTGGTGGGGTGTACCGCCTTCTGTCACCCCGCGGCCGGAGGTGGCTCCGAGGCGGGGACGCTCTCCTCCTGTCCCCTCCCTCTGCGTGGACTCGGGTCTGAAACGCAGCCGGCCCTCTGTGTGCAAGGAGCCCAGCTGGTATTCTGCAAGAGTTTCTGATCTCTTGCGCTTAGGTGGCTGCGGTATGTTTTCCTCGCTTTCTGCGTTCTTCTTAGAACTTCTAGCAAGGTACTTTGTCTTGTTGCTCCTTTCTTTCAACTCCTTCTGGAACAAGCATCTAATCTGCACGGCTGAACTGTAAATAGCCTGTGAGCCACGTGAATGAAAATAGCTATTTTAGTTTGGAAATACAGGTAAGCATCAGTTCTGTTTATGTGTTTAGCAGGAAGCTGCTATAGTTAAGAGTTTGTGTCTAGATTCTCATCTTCTAGTCCCCCTCCCCGAATAATAAAAACTTCTTGTATTTTTTTTCCTCTCTTCAGATTCTCTATAGCTATATGAAAAAGCCACTATTTGCTTTTCTTTATAATGGTTACCTAGAGGTTTTATAAAAATGGAGATTAAGCTAGATGTTCTCATCTCTACATGTATCAAGCAAAGAAAACCATGGCCTCGCATCTCATGGATTGGACAGGTAAGCGTAATGAACTTTTATTTAAATAAAATTCTGCAAAAAGTAGGTTTTTTAATTATAGAATACTTTACACTTCTGTCTACAGGGAGAGGGCTAAAAAAAGCCACGGAAAGTGAGTTGAATGTACCCCACTTAAGAGTTATTGAAATAAATAGCTTGTTTTTCTGTCTTACTGACTTGAGGCTGGAGATTCAAACTTTCTCAGATAAACAATGGGGACTCTTTTTTTTCTCCCAAAAAAAAACCCTGTCCCTTGTATGAGATTGTTGTTTTGATGGTTCTAGTTTTTCATAACCTTTTTTACAGTACATTGGTGGAAATGGTGAACAAAAATTTTCTCCCATTCCATCCTGCATCTGTTGAAAGACATGCTTTCTTAAGCTTTTTTGATAAAATGAGGCTAAACTTTTTTTTTTCCTCTCTTCTAATATATTATTTGAGTTTAGGTAGGTAACCATTTAAGGCCAATTCCTTCTTCTGTTGAAATCACTGGCAAAAATCTCACAAAATTAAGCACTACAAGACGAGATAACTAGTGTCTAATTTTTTGTTGTGTTGTCATTTGTTGGCAGTTAGTTCAGTTGATGTACTTCGAAGAACTTTTTAATAATGATTGTAAAATTAGTTTGGTAGTTTGAAACCTGTGAACCAAATGCATCGTCAATGTAGGTTGATGCTAGATACGATGTTGTACTGTAAAGCAGATGTGCCAAAGAATGACGTTAATACAGTAATTGAAGCTGTAACATATTTTCTTCTTTTTTTTAATGATTTTTCCCTAATAATTTTTATCTGCGCTATTTTACAGGCTTATGTAGAAAATAGCGTTTTAAAAAATTAAATGCTTTTTTTTCTTTCAACAGGAAAAAGAGGCTATTTTTCTTCTAGGTGATAAACATATAAATGAAATTAACCTGGCATCAGGGAAGACAAAAAAAATCCCTCGGCTGCAGTCATTGTTGAAAAATGTAGTTGTTTTAACAACATCAAGAAATGGTTAAGTATAATATTTTATGTATTATGAACTCATGTTATTTTATTTGTAGTTGTAACCGTTTAGAAAGATAGAATATCTAAAGGATCTGCCAGTCCAGTGTCAGCTTTAGAACTGTGGCTAAGATGGAAGG